GGAGACAAGAGAGGAGACAAAGGAGACAGGAGAGGAGACAAAGGAGACAAAGGAGACAGGAGAGGAGACAAAGGAGACAGGAGAGGAGACAAAGGAGACAAGAGACAGGAGACAAAGGAGACAAGAGAGGAGACAGGAGACACGAGAGGAGACAAAGGAGGCAAGAGAGGAGACAGAGGAGACAAGGCTGACCTCGACCCTTTGCGATTCTTTCATCGATGAGCTCCGCCGCCTCGAGCTGAGAAAGCAGAGACAGCCGGGAGGAGACAAACAGAGACAGGAGACTGTCTCCACGGTGAGGAGACAGCAGGAGGAGACAGAAGAGAGACAACAACATAATTAAAGTAAACAGAGAGAGAGACAAAAGAAACAACAAAAAAAACACAGACAAAGCCTCTACATAATCAAAAAAAAAAAAAAAAAAAAAAAAAAAAAAAAAAAAAAAAAAAAAAAAAAAAAAAAAAAAAAAAAAAAAGAGATAAACACGGCTCCCAACAACCCCACAAACTGTCTCCTCCGCCGCTGCTGTCTCTTCACATCCACCCCAAGAGAGACACTTTCTACTGGTAGTGAGGAGACAGCACACACTCTGTCTCCTCACTACACCTGTCTCCTACTCGGGTGTCTCCGTGTCTCCTGCTCAGGTGTCTCCGTGTCTCCCACTCAGGTGTCTCCGTGTGTCTCCTGCTGAGGTGTCTCCGTGTCTCCTGCTGAGGTGTCTCCGTGTCTCCTACTCAGGTGTCTCTGTGTCTCCTACTCAAGTATCTCCGTGTGTCTCCTGCTGAGGTGTCTTCGTGTCTCCTACTGAGGTGTCTCCGTGTCTCCTACTCAGGTGTCTCTGTGTCTCCTACTCAAGTATCTCCGTGTGTCTCCTGCTGAGGTGTCTTCGTGTCTCCTACTGAGGTGTCTCCGTGTCTCCTTACCTCTGAGGCGACGGTGACCTCCTCCCTGACCGGCACCGAGGGACGCTGAGCTGAAGAGGAGCGGGCAGGAGCGTCTAGGGGGCTGTGTTGTACGCTGTTGAGCACTGCAGCGCATGCATGCATGCAAACCCCAAACCCCAAACCCTAAACCCTAAACCCTAAACCCTAAACCCTAAACCCTGAAAAAGGGAGAGAGAGAAAACATACACCCCACACTGCTCACTCTGAATCTCGAGACGACCAAACTTTTTTATTGTCATAGAACTTATCGGGTTCCTTTCTGCAA